TAAACGTAGTTTTGTATTTTTAGATTTCAACTTTTGCAAAGACCCGCCGATAGAACTTGCCTGGCAGCGTACCTGTTTAACTAAACGTATTATTTCCTGATAATAATATCAAAACACGTAAGTACCTCTATAATTTATGATGACAAATGATTTTGATTATGTTTTATGTTATTTAAATACTTTCTAACCTCAAATAATAGTAAGATCCTTGTTTATATCGCACAGCCCGTTCAAAACTGTATTGTCTTCAAAAAATGTTTACAAAACAAACAATTATTACAAAAACAATGTCCTTTTAATCTGATTTATACCTCAGAAGGATGCCAGTAAAATTTTATTAAATCAACATTATATTATTTGGCCATTAATATCCAAAAAGGAGCATATTGCCTTAACTTAAATTTTCTTTTACTTCTCTTGACAATGTTCTCTATATTCTCTATTTTGAGTTAGTAAACTTTTGAACGGGATGTGCGATATATAAAATACATAATATATCCAAGGGTATGATCTGATAAAAGTATTTTTTGATGCATTTTTTGGTTTTTTATGCACGTTGGCTTGGTTTATGTTTTATTCAGCTTATATTTATTTGGTTAACAGTTTTTTGCCTTTGGAATGGCATGCATTGAGGCTAGATAGTGTTTCATTAGATCATTAAAGGAATTTAAATTAGCATATATTTTTTGTCATATTAGTGTGTTATCATGATACAGGTAGTTGTATCATAGTGCCTTATGCATGTTATTTACCTAAGCCCCGTTCTCAGAACTGCGTCGTGTCGACAGCGACACTGATTGACGTTTCAAACAACCAATGTAGCTGTACTAAATTTAAAATTGACAGCTGTTTGAATTTTGTACAAATCTCATTGGTTCTTTTGACGTGTCGCTGGCGACAGTCGCAGTTCTGAGAACGGGGCTTTATATACTTATGTAATGTATTATCAGTAAATAGATGATAACATACTACTAAAATGTCTTTTTAATAGTATGTTTATCTTTCCAATTCACTAGTTATTTGCAAAATATATTTTGAACTAATTTAAGTCATTAATTTTTCATCTTTCTTTTTCAGGTTCCGGGATATTCTTTTTCATTGTTAAAAAAATATATATATTTCAATATTAATGTAATATAAATCGCAGTTCTAAAAAATAAATGATATTGTTTACTAATGTGTAATTTATTTACTATGAATTTTCTCTGAAAATAGTAAGTCTTTAATAATATCATTGATTTGCTGTGTAAAGTTAATAGACATATTTTTAATACATTAAATTATATTAAAGTAATAAAAAATATGTTTATTAACTTTAAACAGTAAGTCAGTGATACTTATAAAAATATTTTTTTTTAAATTTCCCCTCTTTTAAGCCCCGCCCCTCCAATTCCCCTCAATTTAGCTAGTATTGCCAGGCGACACCAGGTGGCGTCTGTTTCCATTTTTTAACATGAAATTAGCATTTCTTTAATGTACCTATTCTCTGGGTTACCCACTTAAAATAAGAAAGTTGCTGTCAACTTCCGGTATTTGCGGAAATGCTGCCATATTGAAGATATTTTTAATCGATAGATCTCGTTGTAAAAGAATGATATGCAAAAAATCTCCGATCTAGATATTGTAGTTCTCTAGAAACTTCTAATGCACGCTCAGCCTGGGACACCCTGTATAATTTTTTAAGTTTTATATAATATATTCATTCGGGTCAGAACGACGTTGTCCGATGCCTAACTTCCACCTTGTGCGACTTTCCCAAAGATTTTTCTCGCTCATCGATCTTCTTATTCCTCCAATCCACGTTTTTTTGGAACGTCCCCTTTTTACCAGGTGGTATCCAATGAAACACTTGTTTTGGAATTTTTTCACTGTGCATTCTCTGAACGTGACCGTATCATATTAATTGTTTTTGTTCGATATCTTTCATTATTGCTCCTTCTATTCCCATCTGTCGTCTAATGTCTTCATTTCTGACTTTATCCTTTCGTGAAATTTTCATTGCTCTTCTAATCGCGTCCATTTCTGTTGTCTCTAATATCCTTTTATTTCTTTCATTGAGTAGCCATGTTTCACATCCATAGAGTAATATACTTTTAACTAGTATCTCATATATATGATATTTCCTGTTCTTTGTAATTTCAGTGCTCCATAAAATGCATTTATGCATCTGATAACTCTTCGTGCCTGTATTACTCTGTTGTTTATTTCTCTATTGTCCGTTCCATCTCCTGTGAATATCGAACCCAGGTACCTGTATATCTTCACATACATTAATTTTTAAGATTTTCTGTATTTGCTCCAATTGGAAGGTATTTAGTTTTTTCGGTATTTACTGTGAGACCCCATTCAGCAGATTCTTCAATATATTCCATGTCATCTTTGTTGGGGATATACAGCAACCCTGTTAGAGCCCTTTAGTGATAGCAGTTTGCTCTGAGAGACCGTTGTTCGTTTTTATTTGAGATTTTCCTCCACGGTAAAGATTTTGTACAGCTTTTATCAGCGTGCTGCGTTAATTCTGGATTCGTGCAATACTTCCCATAACTTTATTATTGGCACTGTATCATAGGCTTCGTGTGGATCGATGAATGTTATATGAATTTCCTGGTTCATTGCAGATTTCTTCTCGATGATCTGTTTCAATGCAAATATATTATCTGGACATGGTCTTCTGCCTCTAAACCATTTTTCAAGTTTTACCACAGCTTATTCAGTACAAGCTTGTCACCTTCGCATAGTTTTGAGTATCAGTCTTTCCCCCGCTGATATTTTATGGTAGGTATGAAGTATGAATGATATGTTTTTTGCATGAGATAAAACAATTATTTTTAAATATGAAAAATAGGTGGCAAAAAACCGGTTTTAATTTCTAATTAATTTAATTGCATTATAAGACGCAACCTTGATGATAAAATGAATATGCAATTTAAAAAGATGCTTTTTTAGTCACTTTTTTTAACACCCGACCTTTCAAGCGTGCTAACGGTATGGTTAAACATAACTTAACTAAGAGTGATAATTAATGCTTAAAATACATATGTGGGAAAAAACGATTACCTACTCACCTAGTCATTTATGTAAAATACAATTATTAAAATTTCCACTGGCAACATGTTTATTTGCTATTGTAGTTAAATTAAATCTTATAAATAAACTGCATTTTTTTTCTGAGGATCAGCACGTTCTCAACAGGATGACCATGTTGATATTTATAAAAAATATATCGATATTTTGAATACTAATAATTGTTTTGGTATACAGTGTGTCTCTGGATGGATATGCAAAGATCCACCTATTAAAGTTTGCTATTTCGACTTTTAACAAAAAGTCATTCTATACAGGGTGCTTCAAAGAACATGTGCGTGAGGATACTTCTCACGTAAAAATAAGATTTATTCTTTATGTCAACATAGGTTCTGCTTCGTTTACAAAATCACATGTTTTTTGAAATACCCTAATAATAATAAAAAAGTTACTCGAACTTCAAATTTTAATTAGCCCATAAAGAAAGAAAATTCAAAAATCCCAATTTCATTATTCATTAAATTAAGATTAATGATTATTAGATAAATTAAAGGGTCTAGATGCTACCAGTAACTGATTATCCAGTCGACACGAACTTGTACGAATAAATTATAATAGCTCTGGTTTCAACTTTTTTAGTGATTTCTTGTTTTTTTTTAATTTTGAAAAGGTGGACACCTGATAATGGTCCCATCTCAGGTTTGGTCTCCCTCTAGGTCTCTTAATTCCTCGTGAGTACCATGCTGTAATTTTTGTGGTCCATCTGTTGTCCGCCCTTCTTCCCAAGTGTCCTGACCATTGCCCAGATTAGATTTATTACTTGAGGGATTTGATTCTGTGGATGATATCCATGGTATAAAGAAAACAAGGTATGATCGATAGCGGCTCCAATTTCGTTAAGTTTGCGCATACCACCTGTGACGTTATACACCATACAAAAAATATCCATATTGTTCAATTGCCACCCGTGATTGCCACTAATAAAAAAAAAGACCTAAAATAGGGAAGAATTAGGACATAACCCCAAAAGGTATGTTTTGACATCGAGCTTGACATTTGAAAAATTATTTTCACATTTTGACACAATCAAATTTCACAGATGACACAATCTGTTTGACAATTTGAAATTGGCGCGCAGAGCTTGCCGACCAATAGTGCCGTTTATCACCTGTGACCTAGCGACCAACCTGAGCAATATCATACCTTGTATTCTTTGTACCATGGATGACATCTATTACCTGTGTCTTTTGTCGTATCCACTCAATCTTTTGCGGTTTCTCTTGGTTATTCCCAGCATATTTCGTTCCACTGAGCGTTGTGCGACGTTCATCTGTCTTATAATGTCCGTTTAAAGGTTGATTCTCACTATACCTTCCATATCAGCTTCCTTCCGTTTCCCTTCCGTTTATATAAAATATTATATCATGTAAACGAATATGACAATGCACACTATCCGTTCCGTTTCCCTTCCGTTCCATATCCTTTCCTTCCATGCATTTTTTTGGCGGACGGACTGAAGCGTATCGGAAACAGGTCAAGTTCTTACATTTGTACCCGCTCTGTTAAAATTTTGCTGATATTTATTTATTCTTTCACATCTTAATTAACTCTATTACCTTTTTCAAAAGATACCAATTTAAAAAAAAACTTTCGTAATGATATAAAGTGTACAATACAAAGTATGGAACTGATACGGAACGGAAGCTTACGTATAGCGTCAATACAATAAAAATACGGAACGAATATGGAATGAATATGGAATGAATATGGAATCGAAACAGAAGGTATAGTGAGAATCAACCTTTAAGAGTCCATGTTTCGCGCATAGGTCATGACTGGTAGTACACATTGGTGGAATGTTTTCTTCTTTAGATAAAGTGGCATTCTATATTGATATATCATAATGTTAATAAAATATCCATATGTTTTTTTTGAAATATATTTATTAATTATTATAACAGAACAGATAATGAATTAAAGCTGCAAAAGCAAAACTTTTCTTTTTAACTACACTAAATAATGCAACAAATTCAGGTTTCTTCTTCTCTGCTTAATTTTATGCATATCTCACGGGATCTCATGATGAATATCAATTCTTCGAATAATTCTTGTTCAAGTTCGAAATTCTCCATATCTCTGGCCAGATAAACCTCTAAGCATTTCTAAAAAAAAAATTTTATGTATGAAACTGTTTTTGTTTTGTCAGAAACAAATAGCTAGCGTTGTTCTGTTTACATCTGATTTGTACAGTGTCCGGCAATCTATAGCTGCAATGTATTAGGATGTATTTCAGGAAAATAATTTAAACTCTACAGGGTGACTCAAAAAAGTGTGAGTGGAGCGGGATGATTTTTTTAAATGGAACATCCTGTATACTATTGCAATTTTGACTTCCTTTCCTGATCACTTTACATAATCCTAAGATATTTTTAAATACGATTTGTTAGTTTCGGAGATATTAATAAATAAATAAATATATTTTTTTCAGCCTTTTTTAAAAGAATTATTAGAATACCAGAACTGTCCTGAAATCAAAACTATATCAGGTATTTACTTTACTTTGCTATAAATATCGAAAATCTTAAATCATACAGGATATTCAAAATTTACGCTAAACTTTCTAAAATATAAGATAATTTTTTTAAGTTAATATTTCAAGTGTCGTATATATTAAATAATTTTAACATACAAGATGACGATTTATTAATCAGCTTTTCAATAAACAATAATTCTAAAAAATATTATGTTAAAAGATTTATGGACAGGTAATCTATTTTATTTAAATCATCACCCTTTTTAAGTCATTATTGGAACAAATGGAATACCCAATAAAATAAATGCCATCAGTTTTCTATGAATTTAAATCAGAAACACATTTTGAAGAAAACCTTTCGTGTGCTATTGTGTCTTTGAAAGGCAGAGTTCAAGGTCTCACTTGTGGTACTCGTAATTGCGCTGTATTATAATTTAGTGTGAATATAAGTATAATAATGTAGGTACCGATAGAGATTGGTTTTAATTAACAATGGGTATTTTTTTAACCCAGACACTAATGTTACACGAAATAGATGACTATTTTAAGAACTATTCAAAATGTTTTTTTTTTCTGTCTTTGTATTTTTTCTATAAAATTTGAAACTTTGATGAATTTATTTTCTGACGTTGATTTTCCAATCTATCAATAAACTACTGAAAACAATTATCGCATATTTTTAAAAATATATAAATTTGAAAAACAAGACACTTTGAATTCTCTGAATGACGTTTTTAAATGATTTGGATACTGTAAAGACAAATATTCGAAACAATTAAGGTTGATTCTCACTATACCTTCCGTTTCCATTCCATATCCGTTCCGTATTTTTTATTGTATTGGCGCTATACGTAAGCTTCTGTTCCGTATCAGTTCCATACTTTTTATTGTACAATTTATATCATCACTAAAGTTTTGTTTTAAAAATTTGTATCTTTTGAAAAAGGTAATAGATTTAATTAAGAGGCGAAAGAATAAATAAATATCAGCAAAATGTTAACAGAGCTGGCACAAGTGTAAGAATTGGACGACACTGTTTGCGATACGTTCCAGTCCGTCCGCCAAAAAAAATCTACGGAAGGAAAGGATATGGAACGGAAGGGAAACGGAACGTATAGTGTGCATTGTCCTATTCATTTACATGATATAATATTTTATGTAAACGGAAAGGAAACGGAAGGGAGCTGACACGGAAGGTATAATGAGAATCAACCTTAACCCCACGCGCTGGCATGCAGTTTTTAGTCAGCCGACTAGTTAGTAGCAAAAATGAAAAAAAAAACATTCTTATGGAGCCGATCGGCCAAAACTGATTGCATGTGAGCACGACTACTACTACTAATAATAATAAGGCGAAAGGTATTGATGAAATTACAAAGGAAACTCTTAAAGAACTAGGCGACGAGGAAGTTAATATAATGTTATGATACATACAATATTATGTAATCTAATATAGAAGACCTGGATTTGTCCTAAAGACTCTAAAATGTAATAATACTTTGGATGTCTTAATCGACTTAGGTACTACGTGGACGGCAAAATTGCAAGATAACACGCCAGTTTTGTGAAGGGTAGAGGCACCCAAAATCAAATTGTTAACATTGGACAAATGATAGAAAAATACCGTGAATATAATGTCCCCATGGTAAAATTCTTCATAGATTACACATCATGGCTTTCGACTTTGTCAACTGGAATACGTTATGGGAAGTACTCAATCAAATGGGCGTTCCAGATCACTTAACGAATATAATCAAAAATCTTTACTTGGAAAGCACCGTTGCAGTCAAAATAGTATACAGGGTGGTCCGAACTGTATTCCGGAAACTTCGGCAGCATATTCTACAGATCAAAATTAGTAAAAAAGTTCGTATAAATGTATGTCCTAAAATGTTTAGTTTCGGAGATACAGGGTGTAGAAGTTTCATTTTTATTTCGATTTTTTCCAAATAATTTCTGAAGTAACGTCAATATTTCAATATAAATTGGTATCTGGGAGTTTTGTGACACGAGAAATTTAATTTTGATGTCAAAATTACTCTTATTTGTAGGGGGCGTCACCTACATGTGTTTTAACTGTTTTGAACAGGAACAACTTTTCGTGCGTACCTATATAAAACCACTGACTAAAAAATATACATTTCCATGACTTTTTATGTAAAAAATGCCTCTTGGTAAAAATCGCTACAAGCAACCGTTCTCAAGATATTTAGAATGGCGATAGTCAATACATGTCATTATTGACAAAAATAAGCACACGTTGAGTATAGTTATTTGACTGAAATACCCAAGGTTTCGCTTGCCAGCAGGGTATATGAATTAATGCTATAAAAATGCATGCTGCTAATTCTAACAAGTAAAATTTATATGTACCCTCATGAGATTCTCCGGATGGTCGATGTCTTCAATCCAAATTTCATCAGCTTTAATGGTCATATCTCTGAGCACCGAAAGAATAATCATGAAATAGATAAGATACATTCCAAGAATTCTGTAAACAAGTATTAATTTTTAGTTAAAATGTTTTTGGAGCAAACCAACAGTATCTAGATTGTTAAAAATATCTATACCTTTGTGGCGGATTCATCTATGCAAAAAAAACCTGATGGGTTTTTCGCCACTGCACTGCAAGAAAAATCTACAAAATAAAATAGTTATTTTTTGTAAACACTTCTGCGTTAAACCTAAACGGACGCTGCTTGTCAGAAGTTGTGTTTACAGTAATAAAAATTTGCCTAACAAAGAAAAAAATGCTTAACGTTTCGGAAAGTTTTCTCTTTCCGTCGTCGGAAGCAAAAAAATATAAAGAATCAAGAAAAAAACTATTTAAAATATTTAAATTGAGCTAATCGAGAACACTTTACTTTTTAAAACAGATACGTCTACAAGAAATCGATGACGTTCTGTTAAAATGACATTATATTAAGTTAAACTTCAAAATTAACAATTACTACCTGATAATTACTTAATAAGGTAAAACCAAAAAGCCGAAACCATAGACAAACTAACAAAAGCAAGACTTTTCAAAGGATTGAGGAAGTCGAATTATTGTTTTTGCGCTGGCCAGTTGAGTCAGAAATCATCGCGCAGTCGCACTCGTCAAACCTAAACTAAATAAAACGAAAAACGTTTTTGCCTTGAACGAACTGTTGAATTCCTGATTTTGCGTTTTGTTTGCTTATTACTATTATTTTATTAGCGTACAAAACGAAAACAAATAATTTAATACATTTTACATTTATGAAGAACATAATAATTACTGTGATTATACATATTATTGTGATTACATCGCTAACGTAGACAAAACGAAGGTCCTACAAATTGACTGTAAGTTATAAGAATCTCTATCTTTTTAATCTTTTTATGATTTGAATTTTCGTGCTTTATATTTTATAATAGACTCGAAATGTTAATATTTTTGCAAATTCTTGTGAAAATGTGAAGTTTATGTTTTTGTTTTATATTTGAAAAAGTTGTATATTTTTAAGATGTTTCTTGTTGTTCCTATTATTAATATTATAACATACATAATTATTTTTTTGTACCTTTTGAAGAATGCTTTTATTTCGTTTACCATAACTGTTGTTTTTTTATCATCTTTTTTGTTATTTTAATAAGAGAAATACGTTTTCGTTTATTTAACTTTTGTTTTTATATCTGTTATGTCCAGAAATTATTGTTTATTTTACCGATGGAAATAAATTTATTTGATTTTAATAAACGCTTTTTAATTAAACATCCTTGTCTAAAAGGCTACTACAAAATACACAATCCATAAGTAAACCGTCCTCGTCTAAAAGGCCAGTTGACGCAAGCGCGGTAATAAACTCTTATCAAACTTGTTACCGTTTTGCAGTACAGCGTTGACGCGTCTTGCTTTTGTTAGTTTGTCTATGGCCGAAACTTTCTGTATGATTATTTTTAAATTTCACGTATGTTATGTTTATTTATGTAATGTTCTTTAAAATCAAAGAAGTGATTGCCATACATTACTAACATCTACAGATGCATGAGCAATACATTTATTTTTATTAGATTGAATTAAATAAGCCTCTTTTATTTTTCTTTTAGAGGCTATCGCTTATTTCATTATAATTTTGGCGTTATTAAAATTTATTCTGTGCCCTGTGTCCTATGAATGCTGACAAATCTTAGATTTGTGAAAATCTCCCTTTCTTAAATAATCTTTATATTCTTTAGTTCTAACATTTAAGGGTCTAGATGTTTCACGAATGTAAAATGTATCGCATTCACAGGGTATTTGGTATATTATATTTTTTGTTTGTTGTTCTGTATTTATTATTTGTATTTAGCGATAGCCTCTAAAGGAAAAATAAAGAGGCTTTTTTAATTCAATCTAATAAAAATAAATGTATTCCTCATGCATCTGTAGATGTTAGTAATGTATGGCAATCGCTTCTTTGATTTTAAAGAACATAACATAAATAAACATAACATACGTGAAATTTAAAAATATTCATACAGAAAGTTTGGGCTTTTTGGTTTTACCTTATTAAGTAATTGTTATCAGGTAGTAATTGTTAATTTTGAAGTTTAACTTAATGTAATGTAATTTTAACAGAACATCAACGATTTCTTGTAGACGTATCTGTTTTAAAAAGTAAAGTGTTCTCGAATAGTTCAATTTAAATATTTTAAATAGTTTTTTTTCTTGATTCTTTATATTTTTTTTGCTTCCGACGACGGAAAGAGAAAACTTTCCGAAACGTTAAGCATTTTTTTCTTTGTTAGGCAAATTTTTATTACTGTAAACACAACTTCTGACAAGCAGCGTCCGTTTAGGTTTAACGCAGAAGTGTTTAGAAAAAATAACTATTTTATTTTGTAGATTTTTCTTGCAGTGCAGTGGCGAAAAACCTATAAGGATTTTTTTGGATAGTATCTAGATTCATAACTACGAAAAGAATTCTAAAAATAAAATTTCCTTACTAGTAACTAAATTTGATTTCAAATCTACGAGTAGTACCTACCCGCTTCCTGTAATGTATGAAACTGTTGATGAGAATACTTTGTCATTGAAAACGTAAATCGTCGGTTCCTTACAGCTATTGTGGATAAGATCTTTAAGATAGTACTGGTAGTTTTGATCGTAAGCTTCACACGATTCTTGTATTTCCCACCTAAAAAATAATTACTGCTGTATGCAATAAACAATATATACATATATAGTATTATTTTTTGGAACCCGAGGAAATAGGGTTACTGAAAATTGTTATCGGTTATACTTTTAAACCAAAATATCGTACAAAAAACTGCCTCTATAAGCTCGAGGGGAATACATATGACGGTTTTGAACCATTCTCGACCTACCTTGCGGCACTCTATCATTTCTTGAAATGAATGGTAACACCCCACTTGTGGTGTCTTTTTGGAAAGCTCTGAAAAATGCTAAATGATGATCATAAAGTTTTTAGGGTGAAATTGAAAAACTACCCTTACACGAACAATTAGGTGGACATTAATGAAAAAGGTGATTTTTTCAGCGTAAGTTACAAATTGGGACCCAGCTAAATGAAGTATTTTTCAAACCACCCCAACCGACCCCTAGGTGGCACCCCCTCACTTCTAATCTCAAGATAGCGATACCCCACTTGTGACACTTCTTTGGAAAGCTAATTGAAATTGCTAAAAGATGGTTATACAGACTTCAACTTAATTACTGGTTAGTGACAAGAAATGTAGGTGTGACAATTTGAAAGAAATTTTAAATGATAATTTATTTTAATAATTGCTCAAAATGACAGCCGTTTTGTTCCATACAAAAATACAAACGATTTTCAAATTCTTCTCTCACTTTTTGGAAAGTCTCTCTCGGAATATTTCGACATGCTTCAGTTCTCCTCTGCCGCAATTCTTGCAACGAACCTGGTTTTGTCTTGTAGACTATGGATTTAGTGTAACACCACAAGGAAAAGTCTAAAGGAGTGAGATCAGGTGACCTTGGCGGCCACTCGATTAGACCCCTTCAGCCAATCCATTGCCTTGGATAATATTTATCCAACCACCGCCTTGTGACAATAGAATAATGCGAAGGGGCTCCATCTTGCTGAAAGTGCATGAGGTCTTCATTAAGAGTTACAATAAATTTCTTTGTACCAGCTTTTTTTTTCTCGCAATGGTTCATGGATACAAAAATAATTCAATCTATTGATTTTGACACGTTTTGACATTTTTGTTTTATTTTCAGGCTCTATTTTTTCGTTCTTTTTTATGACAGTCGTTCAGCATTTTTTATACGCTTTCCAGAGGTGTCACAAGTGGGGTATCACTATCTTGAGGTTAGAAGTGAGGGGGTGGCACCTAGGGGTGGGTCGGGGTAGTTTGAAAAAAACCTCATTTAGCTGGGTCCCAATTTGTAACTTATGCTGAAAAAATCACTTTTCTCATTAATGTCCACCTAATTTTTCGTGTAAGGGGTAGTCTTTCAATTTCACCCTAAAAACTTTACGATCATCGTTTAGCATTTATCATGGGCTTTCCAAAAAGGCGCCACAAGTGGGGTGTTGCCATTTAAGATTTTTAAGTGAGCAGTGGTGCCGCCTTAGGGGTAGGTCGGAGTGGTTCAAAAAATACGTCATATGTATTCCCCCTCGATATTATAGAAACGGTATTTTTTATTTTTTGGATATCTTTTTTGGTTTAAAAATTATTGCCATTGTTAGTTTTCAGTGGCCCACCCTGTATATGAGATATCGACTTAATGTGCAAAATCTGCATCCTTTAGAATGTTAATGGAATTTTAAACTGACACTTTTCATACAGTCCTCGTGGCATATAGAGATTGCATTTTTTTAAGTTTGTCTTGGACCAACTGTAGGAGAAAACACCAATGTTATGTGCAGAGATGAAGCTGTAACTATAGATAAATGAAACAAGTTTAGATTGTGTACCCATAAGGACAATGTAAATACTATTTGGCGCTATTCTTGTAACGGTCGCGACCCAAAGCTTTTGATAATTTCGGAGCGGTTCGGCTTTTTTCCGGAATTATGTCGCCAAATATTATTTATTCAAATTTATTATTATTTTCTTTTGAATTTTAAAATATAAAATACAGTGTGTGTGTAAATATCTAAAATATATTAAAAAACTATAAAAACAGCAGTTTGAAGCAAAAAAATAATTACCATAATACCTATTTTTAATTATCTACACTTTTCCGCAACTATCACGGGTAAATAAATAAAATTCAAATTAAACTGCACAATAACTTTGAAAAGAACGCTTTAAACAATTTTCGGTTTTTTTTCAATGTGGGTGGTTTAAATTTTTTTAAAAGACTTTGACAAGACTGACTTCTTTCTGTCCTTGTTTAGGATTACTTGTTCTAGCAACCGCTATAGCAGCTATAACTATTAAAAGTTTTGATGGTAAAACATTCCAATCTAAATTTATCTCATTTATCTATGGATGTAACTGATTTAGGTTGACAAAGTTGACATATTAAATGGCATTCTATTCATAGTGTTATTTTCTATCGAATGAAGTAGAAATATACCGAGGGTGTTACTTAAAATCCAAAGTTGTGGCCATTTCCGGTGAAACAAGAAGTGACCCAAAAAAAAAATTGAATACGTCAATCAATCCTAATTTATGTCATTTATAGATATATTAACATACCAAATCTCGTTTTTTTCGAAGCGCCTGAATGCTGGAAATAAAGGGTGTTCCAATACTCCGTGGACATAGAACTACTGAATATTTTTAGAATCAAAATAAGTTCATTGGACACAGTTTACCCCCATATAAAAAGTGCTTTGTTTATCCGACAGAGGGCATCAAACTCAAAAAAAATAAACCCATTTTTTAAGATATTTTAAGAACCGTTATTCCGATTTGAATGATATTTGATATGTCTATGTTTTGTTAAGTGCTTTAACATTCGATTTGATTGATGCCCTCTAACGGACAAACGAGGCACTTTTGTAATAAAGATAATGATAATAATAAAGACTTTTGTAATGTAAACTTTGTGCAATTAACTTGTTTGGATTCAAAAAATGTAGTTGTTCTCTATAGGTATGTCCATGAATATTGGAACTCCCTGTATTTTTCGCAATTTGGCTTTAGAATCTTAAAGCTTTTACAAGACACAACAAATATAGTAAATACTAGGAGGAATATTTTACAAAAAAAAAAAATCAGGCGTCGGTGGAGTCTAAAAATATTTGTACTGAAATTGGAGGAACGGGGAAAATAGTGTATCGTTGCCGTAGTGATATTATCTTTGTAGATACGTTAGTGTTTTCTCTGTGTATAATATGATTTTACCAAGATTGTCCGTTTTCTCGTTGCAGCCCTATCAATAAATGTCGGAATCCAACTGAACCAGATGTAAGTTCGTCTACTGTTTCATCGTTTTCGTCAGTCATAAACCTCGTAAATTTTTCATCTAAAATATACATAATTAAATTTAATGTTATAAACAATAGTCCAGGAGGCAGTGGAAATTTTCGATACTCATTTTCCCAGGCAGCAAACACCGAATGTATTATTCGGTATGTTATTCTAAGCAAATTCGTTATATATTTAGGGAGGGGGGTTGACTGAACGACTAGTGACGCCTCTACGGATAGAGCTCGTGGAGCCCTACACTAGCCCCATTTAAACTGTTCCAAAAAGGCACAGTTTCCCAGATATTTAATTTGAAAGACTTCGATTATCGGTTTTCTGGATATACACCTTTGAAAAAAAATGAATTTTTTTGTTTATTAACTTTTTCTACTTTTCTCATTTGGTACGGTAAGAAGACGTTAATGTAGGAATTTGAAATGCAATTTAATCCCGTTTTTAGATTATGTTGCATATTTAAAAAATTGCCGAAAATGAAAAAAAAAAATCTTTTTTTATATTTTTTCTTACACTGTATGTACTTTTTTGACAAACAGAGACTTGATTTTCATGCATCCGTTGTCCAACGATACGATGATACGATATTATTTTATTGGTTGAATTTAAAGACTTCAATTGGTTAGAAAATTACGCAGTTTTTAAATTTATTGCATTTTCAAGCCCCGTTCGTCGGATATACGATTTGCTTGTGATTGGTGTCATTTTATATTTTCATTTCCATAACGATTTCTGTTTTATTTATAGTCTAAGAGTTACCAACGTTTTCGAGAGAGAATTTTAAGAAAGCTGCTTCTTTAATATAATATCTTTTACTAAGCTCTCCTGAATGGAGTTCGGACCTTCCGGCTACCGGTAGACGTTGCGTTCACTACCGCGCATCATGTCTGTATTCAACATCTGTTCACTACTGCGCATCACAAATTCGCGGTGTATTTCAGGAACTAAGGAGGCTAGGACAAACCCATGTGTAGCATATTTGGTTTCATAAAAAAGTAGCAAAGTAATGTGAAAATCGCACCATTGTATCTCTACTCATAAACGAGAAATTTCATGAAACACACAAAAGGGGATACCCTGTACAAATGTGATGCGCAGTAGCGAACCGCAGTAGTCTACCAGCAGCCAAACGGTCCGCACTTTGGTCAGGAGGGCACAGGAGAGGATATATTAAAGAATTGTTTTCTTAAAATTCTTGTTTTCCCGACGATGCTAGCTTTAGCTAGCATCGTTGCTATTATATTTTTATTAAGGTTAGATTAAATTTGTCAAAAAAGTGCCAAAATTCCCGTTATCGTACGCATGCCTAGGAAATTCTTATGGAAGTGACAGGTTGTAGCCTATAGTCCATTACTAGATGCACGAGGGGGCGCAATTAGCAAACAAATTTTACAAAATATAAATTTTTACCTGTTTTTACCGTCAAATGTAAAATTTAACCTGTCAACAGTTGTCAATCTATATTTTATTTTGTCCGCTATCCATAGATTGTGTTTTAAATTTGTTTTTGATTTGTATAACGGCTCTGTTCTTGTGTTTTTTCATATTTTTTTAAACGTAGAAAATGGTTTTTAAGTGTTGTGTTACTGACTGTAAGGATTACCAAAAAGATACTCAAATGCATATGTTTCCGAAGGATCAAATTGTAAGTGTTAGCACGTGTTACCTAACCGGACGAAATGTATTGAGTTTCCTATCTATTTTATGTATTATAGTATCTTATCTATGATCGTACGACCTTTCTCCGTTGACGGGCTGGAGTAAAAAATTTACGGTTGAAAAGTGGAGCAAAAACGCTATGACCACGGGGGTGTCACTTGTATGGGAAAACAGGCAACAGGCAAATTTAAACGTGCCAGGACCAACGACAAAGAAAGCAACATCTGCCAGGCATTGGCTTTCTTTGTCACTCACATTGCTTAAATCATGATACCGCGGCCATTTTGTCAACAAAGAAGCTGGCCGGGCTGTCCTGGCAAGTGATTTAAAACAATTTTGCTTTTTTACAATATTAAATTACCATTTGGATGTATTTAATGCGATTATTCAGTTAACTGGTAAGTCATAAATTACACACAAATACTTTATTCGTAAATACAACTAAGATGTAAACGTATTTTTGTATTTTTAGATTTCAACTTTTGCAATACCCGCCGATAGAACTTGCCTGGCAGCGTACCTGTTTAACTAAACGTATTATTTCCTGATAATAATATCAAAACACGTAAGTACCTGTATAATTTATGATGAAAAATGATTTTGATTATGTTTTATATTATTTAAATACTTTCTAACCTCAAATAATAGTAAGATCCTTGTTTATATCGCACAGCCCGTTCAAAACTGTATTGTCTCCAAAAAATGTTTATACAATACAAACAATTATTAAAAAAACAATGTCCTTTTAATCTGATTTATACCTCAGAAGGATGCCAGTAAAATTTTATTAAATCAACATTATATTATTTGGCCGTTAATATGCAAAAAGGAGCATATTGCCTTAACTTAAATTTTCTTTTACTTGACAATGTTCTCTATATTTCTATTTTGAGTTGAAAAATTTGATTTGAATGTACATGACACCTTTATCCACCGAGAACTGTAAAGCAAAATATATGTCTTTAAAGAAAAGAAAGCGTCAGGTCACAAAATATTTTTATTTTTGGCACTTAACATACAATATTGTCATTCATAAGTTCCTATGTTTAATAGTCTTAAGTAGTTCTTCTCTTTTTCTTTGGATTTTCTTCATTGTCTTGCAAAATACGTTCATAAAACCACTTGTATTCGTCCTTGATAAATACGAGTTGCTCTCGCAAGTTTGACATTTTTTCAGATGTGAGTCCACCCCTTTTCTCCATGATTCTTTCAACTTTAATCTGTCCTTTACTCACCATTCGGCCTCCCTTTTTTACTAGTTGTAGTTTGTGAAAAGGCGACATTTCGTCGAGATTCTCCTTATACAAATAACTGCCAGGCTCATCAACTCTAAGCCACTTGATATTATCCCTGAAGTTCACTTTTTCATTTAATTCGTTTTTTTTCTTGTTGAATAGATGCAACATCTCAGGTAGTTTATCAAACTCTAAAAAGTAGTTTTCCATGTTCACACATACAGAATTTCTAGCACTTGCAGCCTTGATAATGTCACGGTATTGTTCTGGGACATAGATATTCTCATGTTTCCTCAGCTTCTTTTCTATCCTCCCAAAATTTCGGTCGGAATCCAAGTAGCTGTGTCCTACTTCCGGAAACTTTTGATCAATCCTTTTAAATGTTCCATTTAAAATTAAAATCTGATAAAAACAGATCAGTGTAAAATTTTTATTTTGGCCGGCACATGAGTCCGACCAAATAATCAGGTGATCGATTTCATATTCCTCTTTAAGCAGTGTGCAGAATCTATACAAACAACTTGCTACTTCCAGACTTCCCCTATTTGCCGTCTTCAGTCCAATTAAAGAAAAAAGGTTTCTGTCCATCAGGAGTAACACAATGAATCCCAAAGTTATAGAACCACATTTGTCGTAAATAGAAAGCTTTACTGGTTGACAGCTTTGGTAAAGGCATAGTCTGCTGTAGGTCCATGGTAATAAAGCAGGTGTTCTTTTGATGTGCTGGTTTTTCTCTGTCTCGCCTTTGAGCATCAAAGGCAGCATGATAATTTTCGATGTGATCTTCAGAGCTCTGACGAGAATCACAGACGCTGCATGTATCGCTGCGTGGGAACCCAAATGATAAATTGAACTTATTTGAAAATATATAGGCATAAGATGAAAGTTTAACTTTAAACGACTCTCCAAGATTGTTTTCTTCACAGTCTTTATAGACATTGCATATATTAAGAAGTGGCGATAAATACTTTTATGGCAGTTCTTGTTGCGTGAATAGTGTGACTCTTTCTGCTGGAAATTTTTATGTGATTAATGATATGAGTCACAACTTCCTCACTGATCCTATGTGGCCTATTACCATGTCGACCTCTCTTATCAGGTGATGGTGCATTCTGACCTTTTTTTAACATCCTTTGTATTATTTCAATTTTTCTGCTAAAATGGTATAATATATCCAAGGGTATTCGATCTGATAAAAGCATTTTTGATGCATTTTTTGGTTGTTTATGCACATTGGCTTGGTTTATGTTTTATTCAGCTTATATTTATTTGGTATAACAGTTTTTTTTCCCTTTGGAATGGCATGCATTGAGGCTAGATAGTGTTTCATTAGATCATTAAAGGAATTTAAATTAGCATATATTTTTTATAATATTAGTGTGTTATCATGATACAGGTAGTTGTATCATAGTGCCTTTTGCATGTTATTTACCTATTATATACTTATGTATTATCAGTAAATAGATGATAATATACTACTAAAATGTCTTTTTAATAGTATGTTTATCTTTCCAATTCACTAGTTATTTGCAAAATGTATTTTGAACTAATTTAAGTCATTAATTGATCATCTTTCTTTTTCACCTGGATAATTCTTTTCATTGTTAAAAAATATGTATATTCAATATTATCTGGAGTGGTCAAACCAATCTTCGGTATTAATTTCTGATTGATGAGATTCATCTTATCACGAATACTGGATAGCGGTTCATCGTCTGAGTCGGATTCGTCGATTGATTCGTTCCCATCAGGTAAGTATTCACTTCCTGATGTAACATCCTCATCACTGGAATAATTATTGTACAGTGTATGGCTCGGTGCATGGCTTTCATGACCTGAAATTCGATATCAAAAATTAAAATGCTCAGAAATAATCAGTAATACTGGATCTTACTTAGTTTAGTAAAGCTCTTACTGATTGAGGATTCAGACTCTATCACTTCTTTGCTGGTACTAGGTGCAGTGACAGAATGATTGTCATAATATATTACAGGATTAACATTTTCATCAGCTGGTTTATAAGTACTACGTATGTTTTGAATATTTGGATGGGTACACTCGGCGTAATTAGGCTCAAGTGCTACTCGGTTAGGCAAATTTGATCCAGGGCTATGAGAATCTGAAATCATTGTATCCGCTATATATTTTATTACAATCGGTAACCAATAGCTACGATTTTCGGAAATTTGCTTAGAATTGGCTAGATATCTTGGATTATATCATACATCACATTATCTGATACAAATCAAACTCTTACCTATTTCTATATTATTTTTTTGTTCCGGTTGCTTATCAAGCAAGGACAATATGCGTTTTCCTCGAGACAGTCCTCTGGAATCCAAATTCTTAATGAATTTCAACAATAAAAGTATTCACTTAGATCACTTTTTACGAACACACACTGAGAAAATATCATTCCAAATTTGACATAACCTCAAATTTGGGTGTCATGTGTCAGTTAGACCCTTCTGCCTTCTAGGTGGATTTTAGTTGATAAAGGTGTTATGTTACCTTGACACCTTTATCCATTGAAAAATCACTGAAATACGGTACATAACACCTTTATATACGTTGAAAATCTCGCCTATTGACCACCTGAAATAACCTCGCTATCAATAGAAAATATTAGTCCCAAGAGTCAATTTCAAGCCAAAAAGCCATTTTTAAAAATGTTACATAACACCTTATCCACTTGTGTCTTCAATTATTAAAAAATACAATGATATTCTTACTAATGTGTAATTTATTTACAATGAATTTTCTCTGAAAATAATGTCTTTAATAATATCATTGATTTGCTGTGTAAAGTTAATAGACATATTTTTTAATACATTAAATTATATTAAAGTAATAAAAAATATGTTTATTAACTTTAAACAGTAAGTCAGTGATACTTATAAAAATATTTTTTTTAAAATTTCCCTTCTTTTAAGCCCCGCCCCTCCAATTCCCCTCAATTTAGCTTGGTACTGCCAGGCGACACCAGGTGGCCTCTGTTTCCATTTTTATTAACATGAAGTTAGCATTTCTTTTTAATGTACCTATTCTCTGGCTATGACCAAGGCTAGTGCTATCGGACCATAGTATCAACGCGTATAACGGATGCATGAAAATCAAGCTTTTATCATTCTCACCTCCGTGCAGGGGTTCCATAAGCGGAACGCTTTCCGGTATTCCGTTCTTATCGATGGAAATAAATTTATGTATGTTATTTACCTATTATATACTGGTGTAATGTATTATCAGTGGGGTTTAGATGATAACATTACTACTAAAAATGTCTTTTTAATAGTATGTTTATCTTTCCACTAGTTATTTGCAAAATGTATTTTGAACTAATTTAAGTCAGCTAATTGATCATCTTTCTTTCTGTAGGTTCCGGATACTTTTCATTGTTAAAAAATATATATTTCAATATTATTGTAATATAAATCGTACTCTAAAAAATAAAATGATATTGTTTACTAATGTGTAATTTATTTACTATGAATTTTCTCTGAAAATAATAAGTCTTTAATAATAATATCATTGATTTGCTGTGTAAAGTTCAGGACATATTTTTAATCACATTAAATTATATTAAAGTAATAAAAATAAGTGTTTATTAACTTTAAACAGTAAGTCCAGCTTATAAAAATATTTTTAAAACTTCTCCTCTTGCTTCTCGCCCTCCACTCCCCTCAATTTAGCTAGTACTGCCAGGCGACACCAGGTGGCCTCTGTTTCCATTTTTAACATGAAGTTAGCATTTTTTAATGTACCTATTCTCTGGCTATGACCAATCAGAGTGCCATCGGACTATAGTATCAACGTATAACGGATGCATGAAAATCAAGCTTTATCATTCTCACCTCCGCAGGGGTTCCATAAGCGGAACGCTTCCGGTATTCCGTCCTTATCGATGGAAATAAATTTCGGAAAAATAAGCGGTATCCAAAGCGGTTCGGTCGCTGTCTCGGTCATCATCATGTTTACAAGCGCTTCGCGTTGAAGCGCTACAAATGGAGCGGACGTTTGTTCAAAGATTTTTTCTTCTTTGCCGCACTCCTCGGAGTTACTTTCGTGGACATATTCGATGACGAGACGGGCAGTAAAAGAATCGACTGAAATATCGAAGAGAAAACTGTCAATAATACAGGGTGATAAATTCTTTTGGCCAGATTTACACCCCATTAAAAAGTTTCTATCGATAGGTTATCGATTTTTGTAATTTAAAATATATCTGCCATTTTTTTGGAGATAAATTCAACATAATATAATGGACAAGTAATCGCAAGGCATACATGTTTTGACTTGATCGATGAGACTCGTGTATCCTTTAGGCGATATGTCCCAGTTTTCCGAACTGTAACTTGTCCATTTGACAACGACGACGTCTTCCGGTTCATATTTATCAAAAATATCTTTAGAGGTCTGGATGTTGTTGAATGTTCTGGATATATTTTTGAAATCGTCGTGTGACATTCTACAAGTAAATTAATAAAATATTTTTGTTCCAACTCAAAGCGCCATAAATAGAGAAATGTAGGAAGTTGTCCACCTAATAGTTCAGTCATTGGGGATTTTTGTTTGGAAAGAAGTCCGGAAGTTTTGCAACTTTTCAGGTTTATAGGTTTTGGGGTCCCTAACTAAAATCCATAAAATGCACATTTTCAAACTTGCCGCCGGTGCCGCCGGTGCCGCCATCTTGCCAAGATGGCGCCCAAAATCGGTATTTTGAGAATATCTCGAAAACTATGCGTTTTTCGCGAAAATTTGCGGAGAGCAAAATTAAAGAGAATAAAATTTCATATAAAAAAGGTTTTATGAAAATTTTCGCTAAAGTCAACCGTTTAGGCACAAACTTCCTGACAATTTTACAATTTTGCGTAAAATATGATATATTATGTATTTTCCGAAATCAAATGTCGATTAGGGTTCACTAAAAGTAGTTTTAGTTTAGTTTCTTCAATTTTGTCTTAAAACAGTGGCGTATTATTAATTCGCTCATTAATTTATGAATAATTAATTTTAATTATTGAAAATGTGTACTTGTTTCCACACCACCCAAGAGGTGAGAGTACATGGTGCGTTTATTTTAACGTGGTCTCCTCGGAGGCCTACTCCACTAGATCAATTAAAAACTTTAACTTATCTGCACAAGCCCGACGGATCTGACTCATTGGTGTCAAAGTCGATCGTGTCTGCTGTGCTGGGCTCATCAGGTTGGTCTCTCAATACGTCTAACTATTCATTTTTAGCCGCCAGAGGGATATCTACAGGCAAGTGCAACTCCTCTTCATCGGATTCATTGAGTGACACTTCATTGACATGGTCACAGGATTTCCCATTGCAGTATGCACAAATCATTGAACATTTTAATTCTGCTTTTCTGCATCCGCAGGCTTTACCATAGTTGTTGGTTTTGCATTTACAGGATAAAAATGCTTGTGACTGGAGTAATGACTGTTATTGTTTTCTTCCAACCCCATTCTTCGGCATCTTTGGTACAACCAGACCAATGCTCTGCTGAACCTGGTGATAAGTTCGCAATGAATGCTGTCCAGCACGACAATTAATTATTCATAAATTAATGAGCGAATTAATGATACGCCACTGTTTCATGACAAAATTGAAGAAACTAAACTAAAACTAATTTTAGTGAACACTAATCGCAAATGTCGATCGAAAAATCGACTATATTATGTATATCATACTTTAAGCAAAATTGTAAAAATTCCAGTGATTTTGTGCCTAAACGGTTGACTTTAGCAAAAATTTTCATATAACCTTTTTTTATAGGAAATTTTATTCTCTTTAATTTTGCTCGCCTCAAATTTTCGCGAAAAACGCATAGTTTTCGAGATATTTACAAAATACCGATTTTCAGCGCCATCTTGGCAAGATGGCGGCGCCGGCGGCAAGTCTGGGAATGTGCATTTTATGGATTTTAGTTAGGGACCCCAAAACCTATAAACCTGCAAAGTTTCAAAACTTCCGGACTTTTCCAAGCAGGCCCCTTTTTGATTCCCACGACTGAACTATAAATATACTGCAGTTTATTATAACTCTATGCATAAACATATACAGAAAAACTTTTGCAGCAGAAATCTCACGCTATCGAAAGCTGCGTACAACTTATCTTAGGGGCTCTAAAGCTTCATTCAACCCTCGAAATCAGTGGAATAAATTAGTAGTTTCTAATTAGCGTAGAAGTTTGTTCGTGTAATTTTAATGTAAGCATTCAGAACGTCATAATTAGTGGTAGTAATTTTCAATTAGTGGAAAAAGTTAACAAACTTTTGACTTTTCCACTAATTATACTTCAAAATTCGCGAGGAATGTCATTTTCGCCTTTGATTATCACCCGTCAAGAAAAATTTTGGTTAGAAATCAAAAGTTTATTGTTTTATAAGCTAAATATTATGCTTTCTCTAGGGATACAACAGACTACCGCAAGCTGTTGCTAGGATATTTTATTAATTTTAATTGTGTTTTTTAGAGATTGTGAATGATCGTAAACTAAAAAGTATAAAGTGTAATTGAAACCACTAATATATTCCACTAATTGGGAAGTTCTGAATGAAGCTTAACTCACTGACGACCATAGCAGATGAACGACCAGTTTCAACAGAGTTGTCAGATCTAACGATTTTTTACGTTTTACCAATTAGAAAATATTGTTTCAGAAAGAATTAAGTTTCAGACATGTTAAAATATCCGATTTAACTAAAAAGCGAAGTTGCTATTCATGAGCTTATTAAATGTTCTAATATTAAATAATGCATTTAAAATATTCTTGGATTTTTCGTTAATAAATACTAGTGTGGTAAATGGAGTAAGTAAAATCTCCAACCCCGACTACGTTTCTCAATCAATGGTTTCATAACAGAATATTCTACATTCTACGTCTATGTAATTTAATATGTGTAGAGTAAGACATGTAACTCGTGAGATTTTCAGCATTATATCAATAAAGGACAAAAACAGTATTGTTCCTAAAGGCGCGTCCAGACTTTGGCATTTTAGCCCGAACGAACCGAGCGCGCACGAACAAGCAGAACAAATAGGCCGAACAAAAAGCATTGTGTACGCGCGACCGACAAAGAGGGAGATATTCTGTTTCTTTTTTCTACTGATATGGACTTCTACTGATACAATACAACTAAAAATAATAATTTAATAAAAAAAAACAAGTGGTTGGTTAAGTTGATCATTTCCGATGAAATACGTGCGTGTACAGGGATGGGAGAATGGGTGTAGAAAGGGGACAAACACAAAATGCCTCACAAGTCGCAATGTTTTGGACGGCATTTTATTATTGAAAAAAAATTTGATTGATTAAAAAGTACTGGCGTTGATTTAGGGCCTTTAGAATTGGGAAAATACGCAACCTGATGGGCCCCCAACTTTGTCACAAGGCTGATTTGATTTCCCCTTACATTTCAAGTGCTGTGTACGATGGAGCTACTAGTCTTTTTGCAGCCAACGCCTGAAACACTCATTTTCTCTAATTCGGTGAGCGAAGGCATATCGAAGACGGTGTGGAACTGAAAGCGACAGTGTTGCCATATTAAAATGTGTAATATCTGTAATACGTTTGACGAAAATATCTTTATATATTTGGACGAAAAATCCGTGTTTATGTATTGAACATTTATTCGTCTTAAACATAAAAGAATCAACAAAAATAAAAATTCTTTTATAGGTACTGAATATTTCGTATTATCGAAAAAAGTCATTTAGCTAGCTTGGAAATGACGACTATTGACATTTACCATTATATTATACATATGAAATTTAATAGCAGCGATGATTTCATTTCCAAGCCAAATCTGACGCTGTTCTTTGTTTAATATAATATTATATTAAATAATTGTTTAATGATAAAAAAAATACGTATTATTAACGTACTATACCCAAAATACGTAAATCTACAGATTAATCCTTAATTCTAGCAACACTGTCTCCGGCAAACAACAACTCTGTCGACTGAAAGCAGAACTACGGTACAGTATTCTTTATCCGCTGCGCTGTAAACCACGATCAGCGCGCAGCGGCGCAGAGCTAAACTAAATCTCGACCGGTTGACTAGCGGCGACGGTATCGCCAGCTACATCTCGGACAGGTTTTGTCCCGCGAAATCGTCCATAAGGTTGCGCATCTTCTTACTTCTTCAATCAACGGTACTGATGTGAAATGTTTGTAGAAATGATTTCGACTTACACTGTCATCGAGAGTGCATCAGACACGCAGACATATATAGGCTGCATGGTTCCTAAATACAGACTAAGCCTCATTCTTGGTGGATGCGTGGTTACTCCTACCGTGCCACTCATGGCAAATATTAGGAAGGGCAAAATAAGGGAAAAGGTGAGTAGGACGAAGAGTACACATCCTAACGCGTACTTCAGCGGCCTTTTCTTTCTTTTACCCGACGATTCCTCACTGGACGTCAGCTTTTCAAACTCTCTTTCACACTGTAATATAAAGGCAAATAATCAGTATCTACATTTACGACATAAATTGAAATATGAATACAGATGAAAATAAATAAAATATATACTAACTTGAATACAAATATTAAGGAAGGAGCATATCAAAAATCTTAGGTCGACCGCAACGGGACTTTAAAATGTCCGACTTAAATTCCGGTTTATCAGTGCCGTTCTAGTTTTATTCAAAACGTGTAAAAATATGACGTATAGGGTAGACGTGGAATGGACTCAATAATTTGTTTATTTTACGTTGTGAATAAATGTTGGTAGTTATTAAAATTGTTATAAAAATATATAATTCTAATAAAAATAGATAATTATAATAATTATCTATTAACACAAAAATATCCGATACGCTACCGAAGCTAGTAAGTCAAATTGACTTACCAGCTTTAAAGGGGAACTAAATTCTTTGAAAGTAATCTTTGACAAGTAGTTATTAGAAGCAAAATTGCAAGAAAAAATATTAATTAGTTAATTTTAAATTAATTTCATAAATGATCGGTTTACTACACGTATGCATATTATACCTATAGTCACTTACTAGAGAAAAGTTATTCCATTATTCCCCTCGATTTTTGAGCGAGATTTACCGCAAGCTATACAACCAACTGGTTTTCAGTCTTTTCCGATAAATCGCAATAGTTTCACTGTAAATTTGAGTTCTGCCACAATTTCAATAGTGAATAAAATAATAAATAACATAAAATAAGCTCAGTAAAGACTGACAAATCCACAAAACTTCAAATCAAATTCAAAGTCAAGTGAATAGTCAAACAGAACTGTCAATAATCCCCACCCTAGAGTTCTCTTTCCGTCGACCATGCATGAATAATGAATACATGGATAGCACTATACTCCTTCCTTAATATTTTTATTCAAAGGGTTTGAAAAGTAACAACTTTTCATCCGTATCGAGTGAAAAAATATACATTTTTAGTTTCTTACGTAAAAAATACCTCTTGGTAAAAAGCACTACGAGTAGCCGTCATACCAAGAATTTACAACTTTGAGAAACACCTCACTGTATTTTTGAGCAATAAAAAGGATTGGAAGAGAGAAACTTTTGCTCAGGCAATGTAAAAGACTAAACGTTCTCCAATGTAAAAGAGGTATACTGATGCCATAAATATATACCAAGTATACCATAAACCCGTATACCAAGTATACCATATACAAAGTACTCCTGGATAAGGGAAAGAACTCACCCGAAGATCCCTCCTCTTACCGACCTGTATGCCTTTTGGATGTGGAAGGCAAGCTATACGAGCACTTGTTATTAGCAAGATTAAAAAAAGTGATTGAATACTCGGATGGCCTGGCTGGAAACCAATATGGATTCAGGGAATGTAGACAAACGGTAGATGCAGTACTTGAAGTAATCAAAATTGCAAAGCGAGCATGGGACTACTCCTCCCAAAATGAAAAAATGTGTGCGGTCATCACACTGGACGTAAAGAACGCATTCAATAGTGCTTCATGGCAGTTAATTCTGGACAAGTTGAGCAGAAGAAGAATAAATGGAAGCCTCCTGGCATTGGTAAAATCATATCTGAGTGAGCGTGAGTTGATTGTGCAGTACGAAGACGCAACCAAGAGTTTGGAACTGAGTAGTGGCGTCCCTCAAGGCTCAGTTCTTGGGCCATTTCTGTGGAATGTCTTATATGACGATCTATTGAGAACGGAGATGCCAAAGGACGTAACGCTAATTGGATTTGCAGGCGACATAGCAATGGTAGCAGTTGATAGGAGTGAGGACTGGCTCATGGAAAAAGCTAATCTGGGTCTAATGAGAGTCTTAAACTGGATGGACAAAAACTGTCTCTGTCTGGCACCGGAAAAAACGGAAGCGGTCCTCCTGACTAAAGGACTAAGTTGAAACCAGTGCATTTTAACCTGCTTGGAACACGAATTGTACCTGGTAGATCATTAAAGTATCTCGGGGTGTGGCTGGACAGCAAGCTCACTTTCTCCATACACGTACACCGTACCATAGAAAAAGCGGAAAAAAACAATGTCCGCCCTTTCCAGATTTATGCCAAATATAGCTGGTCCAAGCGAATCGAAAAGGAAAACACTGGCATGTGTAATGCAATCCCAGATACTCTATGCTGCACCAGTGTGGAATAACGCAACGAATAATAAGGCACTTACCAGGAAACTCACCAGAGTTCAGAGGCTAATGTCCATTAGAGTAACTAGGGCCTACAGGACAATCTCAGCTGAGGCAGTCGGAGTGATAGCTGCAATACCACCCATAGACCTCCTTATCAATGAAAGAGCCAACATATACAACGGACAGGACAGAGCCACGGCGCAAAATTCCCTAATGGCCAATTGGCAGGAGCGCTGGAGGACTAGTACAAAAGGCCGATTGACACACAGGATCATCACAAACATTAGCAACTGGCAGAGTAGGCGCTACAGGGAGGTCGACTACTATTTCACTCAGGCCCTCTCAGGGCACGGCTGGGCTGCTTCAATGCATTCCTATATATAAGAAAAAGAGCAAATACGGAGATTTGTAGGTACTGTGAAGCAATAGATGATGCTGAACACACGTCGGGTGTCTTTTGAAGATTTTCTCCTCCATAAAAAAAATATATATATACCAAGTATACCATATACCAAGTATACCATATACCAAGTATACCATATACCAAGTATACCATATACCAAGTATAACATATACCAAGTATACCATATACCAAGTATAACATATACCAAGTATACCATATACCAAGTATAACATATACCAAGTATACCATATACCAAGTATACCATAAAGTGGTATACTGATGCTTCCAAAACCAAAGGTGGGACAGGGATAGGAGTGTTTGGGCCAAAAACTAAATAGTCCGCACCCATGGGCATGCGCCCGCCCCAGCATCCCTCAGGCAGAAATCTACGCTATCGAAACATGCGTACAATTTATCTTAGATAGGAACTATCGAAAACAGGAAATAGCCATTTATCCGATAGTCAAGCAGCTAGATAGTCAATTATAAAAAATATCAACTCAGTAACCATCAATTCAAACTTCGTCAAAAAATGCCTAAAGAAGCCGAACAAAATAGGCAAAGAAAATAAAGTCCTCCTACTGCATGCCGGCTCACCAAGTGATAGAAGGCAATGAAAAAGCAAACGATCTAGCTATAAAAGGAGCCAACACTCTACTAACTGGATCAGAACAACCATTCTGCTTCCCAAGTCGAAACTAACAAAGCGGAACTGAAGAACCTGTAAGACTCCATCCGTAACCTGGATTGCCAATCCTCCAACGGTCTAAGATTTTCCTTGATTTCAGTAAAAACAATCTTCGGATTGTTACAAGGTTTCTAACAGGACACTGTCTCCTCAACGAACACCTCAGTAGAGCGAAGCTGAGAAACAACGGCGAATGCAGATTCTGTTGGGAAAATGGGAAAACACTAGAACACCTTAACACTGAGCTCGCCGAGACGACGACCGTCCGTGCCATGAATTTTGGTACGGCTGATGTCGAGGATGGAGAGCTGGCCTCTGTGGAGCTGCCTCAGATACTGGCGTTTGTCAAAGCCTTGAGACTGTATGATGAGTTATAACTCGTTATAACTCAAGAAAGGGAAACACAAAATAGATCTATACATAAGGTCGCGGTGATTAATCCCCCTCCAAAACATTCTACCTTCTACAACCATTAATACCTGTTGTGTTGTGTCAATAATGATATGTATTGATAATTTCGATTCCAAATATCTCGAGAACCATTAGCCCGCGGTTACATTGAACGCGGGTAGCTCTGACGGAAATTACTCGCACGACTATTTTATTTTAGTGGTTACATTAGATGCGCGTTCATGGTGTCATGTGTGTCGAGTTTGTTAAAATGGACGCCACTACTTTAATGCTTTCTGGGGATTTGTTAAAATAACTACTTATGAACAGAAGAAAATGTTAGGTAAATGATTTATATGCAAGAAAAGGGGAAGAAAATGAATATGTAAAATATTTGGTGAATTAAAACAGCAACCAGTCAAATTTTTTGAATATTTTAGAATGTTTCGAGCAACATTAATATATCTAAAATAAAAATAAACCTGGTATTGACGAATATTCAATTTTTTCGGGAATGTATTGGGCCCAGAGATATAAAAATTCGAACGCTCGGACGTGCACGTATTAAAAAAACAAACCAGTTTGTTTTCATCCGAGCAACGGAAATAAACGTACGTGCACGGACACGCAAACTCCGATGCAATGTAACCGCCTGCGTAGATACCATTTGTTTGTTTTTTTGCTGCGTGCACGTCCGAGAACGTACGACCAAAAAAACGTACGGACACGCATCCAATGTAACCACGGGCTTACTCTTAGCTATTTCTTCCAAGAGACTTTTTTTACGTAAAAATAGTAGAAATGTATATTTTATTAGTAGTTTCATACAGTTAATTTTATACAGGTACGGACAAAAACCTACTCTTCAAAACAGTTAAAAATAGGTAGGTGGCGTTCTCTATAAGTAGGAGTCATATTGACATCCAAATCAAATTTCTCGTGTCAAAAAACTCCCTGACACAAATTTTTATCCCAATATCTACGTTAGTTCAGAAATTATTTGGAAAAAATAAAACAAAAATATTTTTTATACACCTTTATATGTTTATACAGATATATATTTATAGAACTTTTTATATATTTTTATATGACAAATATGCTGCCGAAGTTTCCCAATATATTTGGACCACCCTGTACATAAATTTATTTAAGCAGGGTTGGTATATAAAGGTTAACATAGGCTGGCTTTGGTTTTACTTTAGTTACTTTAATTATGAAAAAACTACTTTTCTTGCATTAAAACTTAATTACCATTTGATCATAGATATTCTCAGTTATGTCCTCCATTTTGAAATATTGTGACACTCCTAGGCAAGTGTCGGTAATTGTCCAGTCCAACAAAGTTCGTAGTTCAAAAACATAAGGGATTAGAGTATAAAACTTAAACGCAAACCTACAATAGTATTTTACAATTTTTCTTGATAAACATTATTTTAAATCACATCGTCTGATCAAAAAGTTTTTTGATCAAACTTGCTCTGGACATATATATCTATATTATCTAGAGCCCTTTTGATCATAAAACTTTGTTACTATACTGCAGATACCTGTTAAATGTAGTGTATCTATGCCACAAGAAATGCATTGATATTAACATGGGATATCCATTTCTTATCTGATAGGCCGAAAACAGAAAGTACATGCACTTCGTAACGTAGAAAGTTTGTACCGCAGGCGTCTCACTGAACACCCTGTAAATGCAATGAAGAAATTGGTATAGTAATAATATACTTACAGGATAACCGAGAAAAATATAAACTAAACCAAGTAAACTTTCATGTACCGGGTGGCCAACTAAGAATGGACGCCGGCTGTATCTCAGAAACTACTTATCGTATAACTTTGGGAGAAAAATTCTAATAAGTAAATTGATCAAGAGAAATCGCTGGAAATTATTTTCAAGTTCGAAAAATCCCCGCTAGGGGGCGTTTCTCTAATAGCGGATCAGAAAACAGGGATTTTCTCAAAAATACGCAGGTGAACAGGTACTTTAAATATTACTATTAGAATCGTCGAGAAATTTGTAATTTTTTTGATATAGAGTATTTTGCTCAGATTTGTTCTCTTAATATCTCCGGTTAGAGAGAAGGTAGAAAGTTGCGGTTTGCGCTGATATTTTGGAAATTTTCTGCTCTATTTAACTGTGCAAAGAGAAATAAAGCCTCCTATTTAATTTTTTTACGCAAAAGCGCAATATCTGTTATGATGTCAAACAGCGCCCTCTAGCTACCACAAAAAAAAATTGTGGAAACAAAATTTATGCTGGAGATCATTAAGGAAGAAAAGCTCTTTTAAACGAGCTTTTCTCCGTTTGTTTAAATCGCGCAACCTAAACCAGAGTTATCCTTATTTTAATAAAAACAAGTTTAAGCTTCCCTCACCACTTTATTTTATGAGATAGAGCAAAATACTCTATATCAAAAAAATTACAAATTTCTCGATGATTCTAATAGTAATATTTAAAATACCTGTTCACCTGCGTATTTTTGAGAAAAAACCTGTTTTCTGATTGGCTATTAGAGAAACGCCCCCTAGCGGGCATTTTTCGAACTTGAAAATAATTTCCAGCTTTTTCCTTTGATCGATTTACTTATTAGAATTTTTTTCCTAAAGTTATACGATAAGTAGTTTCTGAGATACAGTCGGCGTCCATTCTTAGTTGGCCTCCCGGTACCTGTACCAACTTTTAATTCACGCAGTTTTAATCATTTTTACCTAGAAATACCAAAATATAAATTTGAGAAAAATGCCCCAATTTATGAAAATTATTTATTTATCCCTAGTACTGCTTAAATGACCCCAAAAGTCACAATTTTTAAAAATAGAATGATTTAGCTGCAATATCGCTTGTTAAACGACTCTGCGAATAACTTTGTATGTATAATCTCTCCAGCGACAGAATATAGTTTCACAGTGACAAGTTATAACTCTAGCTGTCATATTAATTTAGAAATACATTTTATTTTTTAGTTGCCTGAAATCATATTATTCTCTAACTGATAATATTGATTTCGCCTATCCCATTTCAGTTTCTAATAGAAACAATTAAAATGATAAATACCGTATCTATGATCGAAAAAAAACGGCGTCCATTTGGCATGGAAATGAACATCGATGGCATTCCCTATATAATTTCACATATAAAATGACAGCGATGTTCATTTCATAGCCATTATTACATTTCGTTACCTAAGGGTGACCATGGGGTATATTATGAAAAACCATATATGGTACGTAAACACTTGGAAAAAGTGAAACAGCGTCTTGATGAATCGTCGTTTGCCTTTGTATATCCATCGGTCCACCACCATCATACCGAACTGCAGCAAAAATGTCACTATAAAGGACATCGGCACCTTGTTTGTCATCAAGAAACCTATGAGGCCGTGCTTTTCCTCTTTGTCCTGTCAAAAAACATAATATCAGATATGTTTTTTATTTCCTGTATGTGCTATAAGAATCAATAGTTTAAATATGGAAATTTGTCAGATGTATGTACTAATGTCAATGAAATTGTCAGATGTATGTACTAATTAATGTGGGATTTTTAGTTCCTTGTTCCCAAGTAGCATTTTTGGACACATCTTAGGTAATGTTTCTGATAATCGTGTCTGTTTCTTAACACAAAATTGAAACGGTATGCTACAAATGGGGAACATTTTCGAACCTATATATTTTATATGCCTTTACTACATGTGTTTCCAATGTGGTCGCACTAGTCGTTTTCTGAAATGTTTCGATGCGGAATCAAAACTTTTAGAGGAAATGTTACGATACATTTTCTGTAATTTGTGTCCAAGATGTTCCAGTTTTCAGCAGCCACTGTTTCTGAATGTGAAGAAACAAAATAAGCAACTAAAATAGTCTATGTCTGTGTGTGGATTTCAAAATGAAAATAACCATCAACAATGTCGACCTCCGCCATATTTTTTTTTGTCTTCAGATCTTTGTTGATCTTGGTTTTCTCGCACAAAAATGTATGGCTAAAGCAAATTCATCGTTTAATTTAATAATGTACTTTCATATTTTTAATGCCCCTTCTATATATCATTATTTGTTACTACAAAATATTTTTGTTTGAAATATAAATTTTTATTTTTATTTCTATATCATGGTTCTGAAAATAAAAATATATAAATTAATGTAAGTAGTACGCGTTACTAGTTTGAAAGCTTAACAACTGATAAAAACACATATTTTTAGTTAAAAACGCTATCACCAGCCAACATGGCGGAATTAGAAATCATTATTTTATAAAATTGGCATGGAGGCGGATACACATCATCTGCATTATATCATATTTGTGTCTAAAAAGAGAGAAACTCGTGCTACGAAAATTAATGGACAATAAATGGAAACCTTAAATATGTTTACAAAATGTTTCGATTTAGCGCTATCTGTGTAGAATATTTCGAACTAGTCACCTGTCAACAACGTCAATCAAAACTTCTGGTCAAAATAATTAAAACATATTTATTTACTTGTTATAACACAATTAAAACATAAAAACATGTATTCCATTGTGAAAATAAAACAGAAAATAAAATTTGCAACATATTTCTTCGGTCTCCTTTTAGGTATGGGTAGTTGCTGTTATTACATTTATTCCTAAAACAAATCATCTCTGTAACGCGTATAATCACAAACTAATTATAATAAATACTTGTAAAATCGCAGAAGAAAAAGATCTGCATTTGTACTCACCATATTATGTCATAAAAACTTATAAAATGCTTAAATTATTAAGTCTTCCCCATATTGCAAAAACTGCAGTTTTACCAAACCAAAACTGCATCGAAACAATTAAAGTAAGGTTATGATCTCATATTTGACAGAATATCAAATAAATTGTGGAAACTGTTCAGGCATAAAACGGGTACAAAATCTCTGTAATTAAGTTGGCTGAATGCTCAAAGGCAAGTGGCCATCAGTGGAAAAAAAGTCTCTGTAAATGTGAGCCACATCTGTTTCTTAAAAGTTTCGAAAAATTTGTGACACTAAGGTCTTTATTGTTATAGCTTATGTAGCGAAACTATATTTTGGTAAAATGTTTCGAAACAAAAAGCGATTTATATTACGAAACATATACCGGGTGTTGCATCGTCGCACAGTAGGCAATATGTCCAAACCAAGTTGCAAAAAATAACATCCACAGTTAGCATTTATGGCAATAACATTAGATTGGAAACATATTAGTTAAGAGGAAACCACATAAAACTAACAAAAAAAACATATTCGGAGTCTCTTTCGAGGGGCTGTAAAACAAACTTTGCGCAAAACCTACATTTTCAGTTAATTTGTGTCCAATAACTGTCTTTTTGCTACAATTTTTTAAATAGTAGGCGTTGCATTCAAGTGACACAGTATTATGACAATTGAATCGGACGACCTTAGCTTACTGTCAAAAATTATTGTAAAATTGTCATAACGTGTTTTACGTAGATTCCCGGTTGCGGTAAATTTAATGTGATGGTAAGTAAAAAAGTATCTTTTATTTTGATTTTTTGGATAAAAACTAGGTAAAGGTCAAAGTAGAACATAATCATTTAAGGTTTTTTTTTGATAGTGGCATATATTCTATCTTAGAAAAGTTAAGTCAAAAAAATCGCAAAAAATCGCAACATTAAATTTATTGGAAGCGTAAGCCTCCATGCGTATGTGTATAGTAACATCCTTTATGTGGATAATTGTCATAAATTAATTGTTATAGTAGCTAGAGCTAGAGAAGAACTTGAAATATAAAGTTACGTAACTTTTCTCAAGATTTCCGAAGAGGTATGTCATAAATGCCAAATGACATTTTTTGACAAATTGACAAATTATTACCTAATTTTTTAAATTAAATGAAATGGATTTTTCTTTCAGATTTAAAAATGTGCACTTCGTGACCATTGCTTCCAGCTGTTATAAAACAAAATATCAGTAAATAGTAGGTGGTAAAATAAAATTTAGATATTTTTAATAAGTATAAGTTCTATTATTTCCTAAATTGTCATTGTTTAATTCTCAGCATATTATTACTTATTTAAAATATAATAATAAAATATTGTTCACATATTGCCTGGTATTATTAGAAACCCAACTTATTCAAATGACAAACAATCTTGAATAAAAGTTCGATTGGATTAGTATACTAGGGTTTTCTTTTATACATTGTCACCCCCTTTATGTTTTTTATTTGACATTTCCGAAAACTGTCTCAAATGAAAGTGGTTTTGAATAAATTTGCCAAAAAAGTCTATTTCGCATATACAAAGTGCTTCAAAAAGTCTGGGCGTGGTTCAACTATCTTATTTCAAATTAGGTATAGGCTATGCTACAAAACAGTAGTTAGGATTTTTAGGAGAAAATAAAAATCAAATAAAAAAATGGGTACTAATTTGAAATAAGAAAGTTGGGCCACATACAGGATTTCTAAGGCACCCTGTACATGCAAAGAAGACTGTTTTGAAAAATGTATTCGAGACCGTTAAACTTTTATTCAAGACACTTTTTTCGAAAACGTCGAATAAAAAAGATACCGAGGATGTTAATATATAAAACAAACCCTGTATATGGCAGAGGAGTAATAATTGCTCAATATTTCTCTGTTTCATCTTGTCTCTGCCAAAAATCGTAAAATTTAGTGAAATGTAAAATATTCTTACCGCATTTTGGTAGCTGTATTAGTCAAAAGATGATTTTTCCATTTTATGAATCCCCTCCACCACCCCCAACCACTCTCAAGTCAGCCAAAACTAACAGGGTTCACGGCCTACTGGCATAGAATGTTTTTACCAAATTTGAATAAAATCGTACAAAAAAAGAATTTTTGCAACATACTTCTGGATTTTTGCCCACTGTGCGTCGGACGGGACATAGTAACTCCCATGTAAATTTTAATGGGGTCAATTATTGGCTTCCCTAATTATTTTAGAGAATAATTCTATTTAGGTTTATTGAAGAGCACTAAAACCCACATTCAAAAGAATAACTTTAGATATTTTTGATTAGCCCGTTTACGAGTTACCGCCGTATTATTTTTAAATATTTCTCCTTTCTTATGGCCCTGTATTTACTTATGAGCACCAGTCAAGGTAAAAGATAACTGTCAAATGAAGTTGTCATTTCAGAAATTTACCTATTTAGTGCTTTATTATTACTGAAAACTCATTCCTACATCGGAAATCTTAAAGATGTATTTATAAATACAAATTAATATGAATTAAAGTAAAATAAAGTAATCAATTACAAGGTTAATTATAGTATTATTACAATATTCAATAACTTATTAATTTAGGTACTATTAAATTGTTAGAACTTTAGGATTTAAGAAGATGTTCAAATATTCCTCCATCGACTGCTAGACAATAACCCAGGCGATCATACAATTCTCTTCTTACATTCGCTAGTTGGTAAACTGAAATTCTATTGCATTCGGCAGAAATAGCATTTTTTAACTCGTCTAGATTTGGGTATTTTTTATCCTTGTATATCCTGTTTTTTAAATGGCCCCAGAGAAAGAAATCATTTGGCGAAATATCAGGAGACCTTGCTGGCCAATTTACTGTATGATTTAGGCCAATAACGTTTCCGTTAAAAGTATTGTCTAAATATTCCCGAACAGCCAGTGTACTATGTGCCAGGCAGCCATCCATTGGGTTCATTATTTAAAGTAAACGTGCATTCGTCAGTGAAACATATGTTTTTTAAAAATTCCCTATCCGTGTTTGCTCTTTCCATCATATGAAAACAAAACGCCTGCCGCCGTATTTCGTCCCCATCTCGTAGCTCTTGGTGCTTTTCATATTTGAAGGAATATGAATTATGTCGTTTCAAAATTCGAAACGCTGTAGTGTGATCTATTCCTATTTCATCCTCAAGTTTCCTTGTGCTGATCTTTCCATCGTTCTCTTCCACGCACAATAAAACTTCCAAGTCGGTATCATTTCTTGCATCTTCTCTTTGTTCCTGCCTTGCTTGACATCTGTAATTATTTATTAGGGTACCTTTGGTCTCAAATCTCTGGATATTCCTTGCGATTGTAGATTTTCCAGGTATCGGTCTATTCGGATACAGAGCAGCAAACATGTCCGACACCTTTTGATAACTATTTCCTTGATAATACTATTTAATCATCAATACTTTTTCTTCGGTATGTAATTCATGGCTAATATTTTCGATGTAGGTATGAGTTTTTAATAATAATAATAAAGCACTAAATAGATAAATTTCTGAAATGACAACTTCATTTGACAGTTATCTTTTACTTTGACTGGTACCATTGCCTGGAAACTTATATGGTGAAATTTTGATAAAATAATTTAGTACACACTAAAAACACGGTATGTCACTAGTGGTAGGAAAAATAATTTTTAGAGGTTACTAGTTTATTTGGTTGCCTGTGATATGCATATACAGGGTGTTCCCTAATTAATTTAAAAAATATAAAATCGTTAGAAAACGAATTAAGGCGGGCTCTTAATAAGTATATTTATTTTTTTCTCAACAACCGTTTGATGAACAAGAAAAACTCAAAAGATCAATTTTGTTGAAAAAGGATGGCCAGTCAAGAAAAAAATATATTTTCTTTAGAAAAGCAGTGGTGTACCATTTACGTTAAGCAAAAAAATCGATTTTTTTAATTTTTAACACATTGTAGATCAGAAAAGAAGTACTTTAGACCCAATGGTTATATAAAAATTGTTTTAAGAACACATGAGGAATCACCCCATAATTTTTTAGACTAATTCGAAAACACCCTGTATATTGTCAACTTGACAATGACTGCTGATAAATCAAAAAATACCTTTTCAGTGAAAGAAGCCTGATTTTCACAGGAAAAATTTTGATTTTTTTTTAATTTGGGCCTGCGTTTGCAAATACTGGTTTGTTTTTTAATTTTCTATATATCGAAATTTTAAATATCATAGTCAGAAATAGTTTTATTATTTATTAACTGTAAAAATGGTGTTTTCTTGTTGTGTTGCATCTTGCAAAGAAACTAACGAAACTGCAAAAATGCACGTGTTTCCAAAAGACGATAAGGTATGTATCTTAGATAAAAGAAAAATATATGGTATGTATTCGTTGTTTGATTTTTTTTCGTTCGCTTTAAAATCTATAAATCTCGGTCTATTCATTAGACAGCCATTCGACTTACGATCATTTACATGAAACTCTGTAAAATAAAAAAAAAATGTAAATTATATATATATTCTTATGTTTTATTAAAGTTACTCTGATATACTAATACATCAGTGTAACTTTAAAAATAAATCCTTTGAATTCAAATATAAACATTAAAAACATTTACAGCAGAAAAGGCGAAGGCGCTGGGTTATAAACGTAGTCTCCACTAAAAACACGGAGGGGCGCTTTGACCCAAAATTTTACTATTAAGTTTCATATCTATCTTAATAGTAGATTATTTTCTTTTATCTATGGACTGGTACTCATAAGTAAATACAGGGCCATAAGAAAGGAGAAATATTTAAAAAGAAATCGGCGATAACTCGTAAACGGGCTAATCAAAAATATCTAAAGTTATTCTTTTGAATGTGGGTTTTAGTGCTCTTCAATAAACTTAAATAGAATTATTCTCTAAAATAATTAGGGAAGCCAATAATTGACCCTTTTAAAATTTACATGGGATTTCCTATGTCCTGCTCGACGATGCAACACCCGGTATGTGTCAAAAATTTTTCAAATTAATTCCAGAACTTTTGTGTCCTGACACAAACACCTTCATTGTTTCGAAACTGTTTCGCAATGTTTCTCAGCAGAGATTTTGTATAGATTTTGTGTCTAAAAATGTTACTTGGGTGGAAGGAACTACTTTCTCCAGAAGGAATAGTTCCTTGAACTAGGTCTTTAGTTTACATTAGTTTCCGACTTGATGGAACATTGGCATCCCCGTTGCTTACTCATGGATGTCATTACATCAAATTCGAACAAAGGGTTCAAGGGGAAATTGATTTCAAACAACATGTCTTTAATTTGTGACTAGTAATTATAATAATTTCTTACCATAAATGAATCGAAGAAGAATGTAATATTAAATAAGTTGATGAGGTCGCAAAAGAACATTGGAGTGTAGACGTCTACTGGTACTTGTGTAGTTGATGGCGTTAGGAGTTGCTGAAGGAACGATTTTACTGATTCACCATACTTTTGCGCCCTAGCATAAATAAAGAAGGTTAATACAATAAGTAAATATATAGTTAATATACACCCAGTGTTCAATAAAATAATATATAGACACTGATAGACATTTCAAGTACCATAGCTCTGTTAAAACTTTTAATTTTTAATCAAGGAGCCTTGGTAAAATACGTAAAATATATTTGATCATCTAATATTTTTCGTGACTTTTCGTGGCCGGTTAAAAATGCACAAATCGTATTTTTAATCAAACAGAACAAGGATGGTTCATTAGCATATTAAAAAAACTACCACCGTTGATTGAAACAATAAGAAGATGCGCAACCTTATGGGTGATTTGATGGCACAAAACCTGTCCGAGATGTAGCTGGCGCTACCGTCAGCCTGTCCGAGAATTCCGAGATTAAGTTTAGCTCTGCGCCGCTGCGCGCTAATAGACGTTTACAGCGCAGCGGATAAAGAATACTCTACCGTAGTTTTCCTTCCAGTCGACAGAGTGAGTGGTTGCCGGAGACAGTGTTGCCCGAATTACTGATTGATCCGTTGATTTACGGATTTTGGGTATCGTACGTTAATAATATTGATATTTTTTATCATTAAACAAATCAAACAAACATGAAGATCGCTGTTATTTCATATGTAAAATATTATGGTAAATAACATTAACAATATTATGGTAATTTCCAAGCCAACTAAACGACTTTTTTTGATCATACGGCATATTTAGTACCTATAACAGAATTTTAATTTTAATTTACAACCACGTATGTAATACCCTTGTTTATATATTCTTAAAGTTGCCCAACCGACTAGACAAAATGTGCTGCCAACTGGAGGACAAATCATGAACCTTTCGGGGCGGAGTAAAAAATATCGATTATTTTCCTCAGAGTAATGTAATAATATAGCCCAGGGTTTCTGCGAACTTTAATAGTGATCAGCTGATTAAGAAATTTAAACGAAACTTTTATTTTATTGTAAATTGTGGATTATTTTTGCCTGTTATTTTAAGAATTCTAAACCGTATTAACAAATAAATTATTATTTCGATATGTTGGTACATTATTTATAATTTATGATAATGCTAATTGTTGTTAATTAATATTTTAAAAAAAGTTATATACCTATTTTAATTTGATTTAATGCAGGTTTATAAAAGAATCATTTCATTATTAGATTATTTTATTCTAAATTGAGTGCTTTACGAATTTTATGAAATTTTTTTTGAAAACATGAAACTTTTTACATTTTGGATGCCAACTAATTGGCATGATATTATTGGTATGGAAATTAGCCAAGAAAGAAAAGAATTGGCTATAACTTGTAATTTTTCGAAAAGAACATATTATACCTATATCGCTGAAAAGCTTAAAAAATGGCGCTTTTTATGAAGTCATTGCCAACTATGGTTTCCATTTAAACAAAACATAATGTTTGTGTCATATGTCCAAAATGACAGGCTTTAGAAAAAAAAAAGAGAAAACACAAACTCATTAGGTATGTGATTATCTACAACTTTTATCTGAAAAGTTTTTGTCTAAAATACCGTATGATCGAATAAAAACGGCTTCAGCGATGGCTATGAAATGACGATCGATGATATTTCCCATATAATTTTACATAGATATAAAATGACCGCGATCTTCATTTCATAGCCATTGTTGACGCCGTTTTTATTCGATCATACGGTAGATTATAATGAAATTAGAGACAAAGTTTTAAAATAGCCAAAATTTGTTTTTTTCGAAATATCTAGGAAGCCTTGAATTTCTCCGAAAAATCCGAAAGGCGCATATTTATGACCCCACAAAACTGCAATTTTTTCCCCATTTAACCGACTCTCTATCTCCAGTAGTTTCCGAGATACCCATAGAACATCGTAGAAAACTCACCCTGTATAGTATTTAGAAACTAACTATTATTATTATTTGACTAGATTAATTTGATTAATAAAACTCGATTAATTTAATTTAAAATGAATTTGATCAGATTATTTTTTCGTATATTCTACTACCAGAAAATCAAAATTATATGATAACGCACTTTTCAACGAAGTTGAAGGAAGATATAGTGTATCATCACAATACTTAATAGAATTACTACAATTAGAAGAAAAACAAAAAGAAAAAATACACAAATACCTTCACCTACTACTCATCTACAAAATAAACTAATATAATCTCTTATAAAAACACTACACAACTACTTCTTCACTACTTCAACCACTTCTACACTGAAAAAATTATCAAACTTACTAATTAATCAAACAAAAAGAAAAAATGACCAAATTATCCCTTCACCTACTACTTAACTGCAAAATAATAAACTATAAAAACACTACTAAACTATTTCTGGTATTCTACACTAAACATTATAATTAAACTAAATAAAATTAATCTAATTTTACACTACAACTACAAAGAAATAACTTAAAAAAACATTTTTTAAAACTAGAAGAAACAGAACCTCGATACGTGCAACCAGTATAATAGATCAAGCGGACAAAGAATATAAAATACTTTAAAAATGTGAAAAGCATCGGCCTCGTCGGCCTTGCGAAATTTGTCGGGTATTTACAATGGTCGAATTGTATAATTACCAGCTTTTATAGCATATCTAATAGACAAAAAGTATCTGGTCGATTAGTAACCAATTGGCACAGTCCGAAAATTATCGATTTTTATTTTCTCTATTTTTATTGGTCGCTTCAAAATTCAGAGTAACAAAAAATATTTTTCTGTAGTAAAAGACAGTGAAATACGCCATCTGGTGCTTTACATCCATAAATGTCTTAGGTTGAGCTACTTTAAAAATTCATATACAAGGGTAATACTGACATTACTGACTTTTAAAAAATTTGAAAGTGTTAAATTATCTACATTTCTTCTCTCATTCATTTCCCTCACCCATTTTCCTCACTCGGTTTTTCTTATTTCTCGCCTCATTTAATTAAGCAAAATATTCTTGTATATTAAATACTTATCTAACATTAAGAAAAATAAATAAGAAGATTAACAATAATAAGATTTTAATACATTTATTTGTTGAAGGTAAAAATGCTAGACTTCTTTGGGTTAAAACCTATATTATGGCGTTTTAAAAAAGTGACGGGTTTGTGATATTTTGATGTCAGTCTTTTCCCTTAATTCTAGCATTGTCCGTATCATGCTGTACGTAGCCCAAATGCTTTTTCTGCCTTGCCATGTCGCTAAAATATGCCATCAAGACTGTCTACGAAGCAATATTCTTAGCATTTCTTTCGGCATACCATTTTTCGTATACTTTGAATGCTATTTCATATCGCCCCCTACTTTTCTCTGGAAGTAAACTGGCTTCTGCTCATTTTGCAGCTTCTGTAAGTTCTGGTGGAGTACCATTATTAAAGTAGTCTTCGTTATCAGAACTTTCCGACAACATTCTGGCTTTCTATGTTATATAAATTCGAAAAAGCGAACGAGAAATTCAAAACTGTCACTTAGTTGTTTGTTTTTCTGTTGAAGGTTTGCGCCATAACAACCATTGGTACCGGTAACTATAGATAGGGAAATGCCAAAACAGAAAACGACAAATTTTCGCATATTTATTTTTTTCAAAATAAAATACTGTCCCTATTTTTTAATTAATGATATGGTTGTAAATGAAATAGATTTCGGACTATTCGGAGGAAAGTTTTCATTATTGTCTCGAGATTTAATTTTTTTAAAATTTCTTAACAATACCAATCTCTCGACAATAATGAAACACTTCTCTCCTCGGTATGTAATATATTATTGTTGTTTATTCTATGTTTCACACGAATACATTTTCAATACATAAACGCAGATTTTTCATCCAAAGATATTTTCGTGAAACTATAGCAACACTGTTGCTTTCAGATCCACACCGACT